GACTGTCTGCAAGAAGATCCCCCGGCCTGGCCTGCGGGGAGGGGAGGGGAGGCGAGAGCGAGGAGAGCAGAGGAGAGGAGCAGCGAGGCGACAGGACAAAGAGCAGCCTGGGGCAGAGGGAAGCTGTTCTGTTTACACATACTTGTCTGGTGCTTGTGCCTGTGTGTGCATTTGGGCGTCTGTGGACTGTGTGAGGAGACCAGAGGGCCGCTTGGGAGGTCTGTTCTCTGTCCACCTCGGGCGCGCACGCTTGGCGCACGCTAGGGTAGGGCGGAAGCTTCCAGCCACCCTGAGTGCAGGAGAGGAGCCCTGTCCTTCTGGGATGGTCAGAACCGATATCTGCCCCTAGTGCCCCCCGCCCCCCCTCCCCCGCCAGCTGCTTCCCCAGCTGCTTCCCGGAGCCAGCTGCAGGCGGAAGGCTCTAGAGCTTTCAGAAGGGAAAAGCGGCTCCTGACTCAGCAGAACAGCAGGGCCCAGTGTCAACAGTGACCAGGCGAGGGGGAGCCCGAGGGAAACCAGGGGCCAGCAGGCAGCGTCTGATCGGCACAGCGCTGCGGGTGCGGGGAGAGCGGGCCCTCTGCTCTTTGTGGTGTCTGTGAGACGCAGACGCTTGGTGCTCACGGGGGTGAGTGGAAAAGTGAGGGAAGCACGCAGCTTGGCACGCACCTCGCCCGCGGCTGGAGTGTGCGCTCTCCCACATCGCTCTTCCCGGGGAGGTGGGCGGCCGCAGAGGGGGAAGGCCACGGTGGAAGGACCGGCGGGAGTGGGAGCGAGGGTGACCCCGGAGCGGCACAGCTCACGGAGGATGGCACTGCAGGCCTCCCCTGCAGGCCTCCCCCAGAAACCAGCACATTCCACAACCTCAGGAGCGGCCAGGCACAGTTCAGCCACTTAACAAAATAACATTCGTGGCTCTTCAGCTGGGCCTCAGACCTCCCAGCCACGGGCTTTAGCCTGGCTCCTGTGCGGGTGTGAGTGCTCTCCTGTGCGGGTGTGAGTGCTCTCCTGTGCCGGGTGAGTGCTCTCCTGTGCTGGGTGAGTGCTCTCCTGTGCCGGGTGAGTGCTCTCAGTAGTTACACACCTAGCGCCAGGCAGGAGGCGGCTCTGGTTCAGCCGCCCACACGCCCACACGCTGGCCAGGGCCTCTCCCCTGGGCGGGAGATGGTGGCTTTCGGTACTGTGGGCGCCTGCAGGCCACCGCTCCACTCAGCCACGGGCTTTAGGCAGCTGAGGATAAAAAGAGGGACCGAGGAAGGCCTAACGCAGTGCTGTCCTCAGTGGGTTCACCCGCAGGGTGCACCGGCCCGGGGCCTCCCCCACAGCCCACAATCGTGGGGTCCAGGAGCCCTTCAGCCGCCCTCCAGGGCCGGCCCGCACTGCGAGGCCCGGCTCGGCCTCGGGGCCGGGGGCTGCTGCTGCGGAGGCCGCAGGCTGGGCCTGTGCACCCAGCTCCAGCGGAGGCCGCAGGCTCTGGGGTGCTGTGACCCTGGCCCTGGCCGGGTAAGCTCAGCTCTGCGCCATTTCCTGGGAGCCGCCCGGGGAGCTCCGCCGCTCAGCCCCCAGCGCCTGCTCCTGGTCCTCCTGGCTGCTCCGCTGCGCACAGATGGCTGCCGGCCTCCGAGCCAGCGGGCACAGTCGGCTGCATTTCACTTCGCTGGGGCGACAGGAGTGGCCCTAGGCTCCTTGTCAGTGCTGGGCCCCGGGGCGGGGCACTTAGGGGGCGTGGCCTTGTTAGAGGAAGTGCGTCACTGCGGGGCGGCTCTGAGGGCTCCTATGCTCCAGCTACACCCAGTGTGGCGCACAGTCTCCTGCTGCCTGGCGGTCCAGATGGAGAGCGGCAGCTCCTCCTCCAGCGCCACGTCTGCCTGAACGCCGCCGTGCTTCCCGCCATGGCTGTGCTTCCCGCCACGATGAGGCGATGAGGGACTGAACCTCTTGCCCCGCGAGGCAGCTTCACCAGACGCCTCCTTTGTAAGAGCTGCCGAGGTCCTGGTCTCTTCACAGCAATAGAACCTCCAACCAAGACAGCGCCCCGCCCCGTGCGCTGCAGGCTCTATCAGCTGTGACGGAACTCGGCCCCGTGACCCACGGGTCCCGCTGTGGACGTCTGCGAAGCCGCTGGAGCTCCCTGCCCCCCCCCCCGAGTCTCCCCGGCACACCCTCGGCCCTGTAACTGGCTGCCGCCCGCCACCGCAGACAGCTTTTTCAGGAAGAGCCTCTCCGGGGTCCTTCAGGTCCTGAGGCTGCTGGATTTCATCCATGTTCCGCGTCCCCAGCAGCTCGCAGCAGCCAATCAGGGACGGATGCCTGGTCCCCAGGACAGACAGCCTGCCTCAGGACGGATGTGTGCTCACGTCACTCAGGCTCTCCTCCACAGTGCTCGGATCCAGGCCCCCACACTAGGGCCAGAATCCGGCATCCAGGCTCTGACCACAGTGCAGCATCCACTGTTTGTGTAAAAGCTTTCCCAGCATGCAGTTCGGGGGCTGCCTGCCAGCGGTCAGCATGGTTGCTCATGCTGACCCTCTGTCAAGGTTCACGCCGCGCGTCGCCCTGTGCTGAAGGCCAGAGCCAGGAGAGAGGCCACCCCCCGCCTCCTCCTCCCGCTCACATGCGGGACCCTCAGTGAGGCTGCGGAGGATGAGCCGGGACCCTGGCGATGCCGCTGAGCATGCCCACACCTTCGCCTGTTGATCCTCTCTCTCCTTCAGCGAACGTCTCTCGGGAAGAAGTGGCCGTCACCTTCTGCCGCCAAAGCGAGGGCACCTACCCACGGTCGTGTCACCGTGAGGTGCACGCCCTTCACACCACCCCACCTGAGAGGAAGGTGCTCGCTCCAGGCTGGCCTCGGCACGCCTGGCCTCGGTGGGCACATTTGCTGTGGCCGTGTGACTCCTCCCCTGTCTGTGGTTCTTACGTGTCTTTTATTGAGGCGATTTCCCCCAGGGCAGCACAGGGAGCCAGGGAGTTTACTGGAGCTCCTGGCGGGGCCATGGGCGAAGGGTGGCCTCCCAGGAACCTGGACGACTGAGGGCAACTGTGCCACCGACTAGCCCGTCTCGGTGTGGGTACCAGCTCCTGAAGCGGCATCCCCGGTGCCCCCAGAAACAGCTATTCTGCACAGCCCCAGGGAGAGGAGCGTGAGTGGGTACTGTTGGTTTCAGAAGCTTCCTGAGACTTGTGAGTTTGCTTTCCTTCTGCCGTCATTCATAGGAAACAGCTGCCCAACTAAGAAGCCGAACTTCGGCCAGGGCATAGTGGCACACACTTTTAATTCCAGCACTTGAGAGGCAGAGGCAGGTGGATCTCTGAGTTCAAGGCCAGCCTGGGCTACAGAGTGAGTTCCTGGACAGCCAGGGCTACACAGAGAAACCTCATCTTGAAAAACCAAAAGCCAAACAACAACAACAAGAGGAAGAAGGCTGAACTTTGCTCAGATAGAAGGCCGAACGGAGCTTTCAGGATCGGGTACGGGAAACACGAGGCTGTGGGTAACCGCGCCAGCAGCAGTGTGTGTTCTAAAGCAGCCAAGACGAATTTCAAATGTCTCACCGTAACAACTGGGAGAGAACCAAGCGAGCGGATGTTAGGTAGCTCCACGCAACCGTCCTGTGCCCAGGCAGCGAGGGACACATTTCACTCCTCAAAGCATGGACAGCTAGGGTGCCGATTAGAACACCACAACAAGTTATAGACCGAGGCCTTTAGCCAGGAAGAGAAGGGCCGGAGAGATGGGCAGGGGCATTGGCTGCCCCTCCAGAGGACCGGGCGCCCACCTGGCGGCTCACAGCTGTCTGCAAGTCCAGTTGTAGGGAATTTGACTCTCAGACACACAAACATGCAGGCAAAACACCAATGCATGTAAAAAATCATTATAAAAAGAAAGTGGAAAGACGACTTTCAGGTCTTGTCTAACATTTCGGGAAAATGCTAAAATATTTACATATCATATAAGTGAACATTGCGCCAAAATATGGAAAGAGCTCCCACAAGTTAACAACAGTAACAGTAAAACCAGAAACAGCTTAACTCAGAAAGAAAGAATTTGACATAAAAGTTCTGTGTCGGGAGTGGAGGCACAGTTCAGTCCGAGCACCCGAGAGCCGGGTGGATCTGTGGGTTCGAGGCCAGCCTGGTCTACACATCAAGTTCCAGGGCAGCCAGGGCTACACAGAGAAAAAAAGAGAGAAACAAATGGGCAATAAGCAAGTGAAAAACTGCTCAGCTTCGCTAGGCCATTACAGCAGAGTTTAGCAAACAACAGGAACATCAGGATGACCGCGACCAAAGAAAACCGATAGACAGACAGACAGACAGTGGCCCGACCACTGGGCACTGCTAAATGGCTGTGAGAGATTGATGCCACTGCTAAGCACACACGCACACACCACGCAGACACACACACACAGAAGAGGATCGTGGGCAAGGCCCCACAGGAAACAGCGCGCCTAGGGAGGACACGGTCCACCCCCCCACCCCCGTCCGCAGCCTGCACCCTGCACCTGACAAAGCCCCAGGTGTGGGTGCACGCTGGAGCAGCACCTGGCAGGAGGATCGAGAGCGCAGGACAGCGCAGCAGGGGACGAGGCTCCCCAGGAGCAAAGGCTTCCGAACAGCTGTCTCTGCCCTGAAGGCTGCACAGACATTCCCAGCGGCCTGGTTCCGGGGTCTCCCGGGCCGGTCACCACGGACACCAAGGATCGCGTGCCTGGCTCAGGGCTCTTTGTAACTGGGTTACTGTTTGGGTTTATTGGTATACGGACAATTTAGAGACGGGGTGGTGCTCTGTAGCCCAGGCTGGCCTTACCCTCCATCCTCCTGCCTCAGCCTCCCAAGTGTGGGGTCCTAGTGGACGGTACCGTCCTTGTCTGAGTGTCTCGGCTGTCTCTGCCCACCCGTCTTGCCCATTGGTAAAGACCCCCCAGTCAGGGGCCTTGGAGAGGACGCAGTGGCCACAACAGATTGCTGAACTCTCCGAGTTGGAGCCCTGTAGGCCTAAGGCCATTGTGTAATTCAGACGCTGATTTCTGCTCCCCACACGCGCACCTGGTCACAGTCCTTCTTCTGAGCATCTCCTGTCTCAGTGCTGTGTAAACACTACTCCCAGCTGTCCCCTGATAGGCCACCAAGGCAGCCAATCACTGGGCAGGGGAGCGAAAAGGGCTGGGCTTCCTGCAGCCAGGGGAGGAACTAGGAGAGTGAGCTAGCGGGAGAAGTCACAGAGTGTCGCTCTGGGATGCGTGCTGGGAGGAAGCCAGATTAGCTTAGAGAATAGAGTGGGAGCTGCTCAGTTCTTGTGCTGTGAAGCTTGTTTAACTAATATAATGGAGTCAATCATTTGTATGGGAGCTGGATCAAGAGAGAGACACAGTTTTGTGGAATGACGTTCGTTAGCGGATCCCTATGACTCGGGGGAGGGGGGAGCGGAGAACCTGAGCCACTCGCTTGCCTTCCGCCCTCCCTGTGGCACCATGGCACCTGTGCCCTGCCCCTGGTGAGAGGTGGGGGACGGCGCTCCCGCGCCACTCACAGAGCACAGCCAGGTTGACGGGGTCGCTGGTCCTGGAGGCGAGGGGGTTGGACACCCCGCACTGGTAGATGCCGGCGTCCCTCCTGGTGATGGGGTCGATGGTGAGCCGACTGTTGTTCCAGGAGAAGCTCACCCTGTCTGTGGCCGTCAGCCTCTGGTTGTTGAACGTCCACCAGAAGGAAACGCCGGCCCTCTCCGGCTCGCACGTCAGGGCTACCAAGTGCTTCTCCAGGACGGTCTTGTTTTTGATCTGGATGTGGGGCTTTGGCAATTCCTCTGTGGAGAGAAGAGAGGAGCGGCTAACGGGGTCTTTCTGTGAGTTTCCGCCAGCCCTCGGGGACTAAAGGGCAGAGGGAAAGGGGGTCTGCAACTGTGGGGTCCTGTCAGTCTTCAGGGAGAGCGAGGGGCTGCGTGACCCTCCTTCTGTGCCTCCCGACCTGACCCTGGCACACGTCTCTAGCTTCCATATCGAGAATCTATCTCTTCTAGCCGGGTGCGGTGCCGCACGCCTGTGATCCCGGCACTCAGGAGGCAGAGCCAGGAGGATTGCTGTGAGTTCAAGGCCAGCCTGGCCTATTCAGTGAGTTCCAGGACTGCCAGGGCCGCACAGAGAAAACTCCTCTAGGCTCCAATGTCCAACTCCTTCACCATCATGGAATTGTAAATTTCCATACAAAATAATAAGTTTCATTATGACATTTCCGAGAAATGTGTGCATGAATGCTTGCATTGCATGGGTTTCCGTACATCACGTGTGTGCCCGGTGCCCATAGAGGCCAGCAGAGAGGGTCAGATCCCCTGGCGCTGGAGTTACAGGAGGTTGTGAGCCGCCAGGTGGGTGCTGGGAGCTGACAGGGTTTCTCTGTGTAGCCCTGGCTGTCCTGGCCTCACTCTGTAGACCAGGCTGGCCTTGAACTCACAGCGATCCTCCTGCCTCTGCCTCCCGAGTGCTGGGATCACAGGCGGGCGCCCCTGCCCCATGCTTGGCTGTTCTGTAGAATGTTCAGGTTTTGAAGTGAATTGTTCAGTGGTTTCCTGGTTTTCAGTCTGTGCTGGTCTTCTGACAGGCTTGTCTTTGTAACCGAGTGAACTTTTTCTCTTGCAGCTCTTGTAATTTTTAGAGTCCTTTTGTGAGAATTTCTCTGCGTGACTCGGAATGCCTATTCTGTTTCAGCGTCAGTTTCTTTCCCACGCTTTGTTGCATTTTCCGGTAAACTCCACCGAGGAGCTTCTCTGTGCTTTCCGTGTCTCAGGTTTTTCTCAGTCTGGCCTGTTGATCGTGTCTCAGAACAGGCCAGTGGACGAGGGCAGGGACACCTGTCCCGTCACAAGCTCGGGTCCCACACGCACGCTGCCAGCCTGGCTGTGTGTGGAGTGGGGACTGAATCTGTTTCCTCCTGTTGGCGAACGCTTGCCTGGCCGGGCCGGCTCCCGCGCCCTGCGCTCTTCCTTGCCTCCTTCCCTCTCGGCAGTGGCCCGCCAGCCACGCTGGGCATGGTGTGTCCACGCCCAGGTCTACGCCCTCCTGACTTGACTCATCTTCCGAGCCAGGACCCGGCTTAGAGGCTCAACCCCACCTCTCTCCTCTTCTTGTTCTCATCCTCCCAACCCCACGGAGGTCCTGGCGTTGGGTGTCAGCGTGCCCAGAGCCAGGGCGCTTCTCCAGCATCCTGTGCTACTCTAGAGCGAACAGCCAGCCCACGGGGCAGGCAGAACGGGGAGCTGCCACCCAGCCACCGTCTTCTCGGGGATGTTTCCATCCCGAAGGTGGAAAACCAGAGTGAGATCATGAAGAGTGTGAAAGGCAGGAGGTGACGGGGGAGGGGGAGCGGGAGTGGTCCCTGCTCGGGCATCGCTCCCCAGGCCCAGGTCAGCAGGGGGAGGCCCGTGCGTTCAGAGAGAGGGAGCCTCCTGGGCCACAGGGAACTGGGGTTTGCCTTCGAGTGTGGACACGGCACCACTTCCTCGCTCTTCACGGAAAGCCAGGCCCCGGCCCAGAGAGGCCACCTACCCACTACGGTGACCGCCTTGACCTTGGAGCTTGTGTGGCCCGTGGCCGGGTTGGTGGCCAGGCAGGCGTACAGCCCGCTGTCCTGCAGGCTGGCCTTGGGGACCAGCACCTCCTCCTTGGCCTCCCACGGTCCTCTGTTGATGCTCCAGGAGTAGCGCGCCCGGGGGTGGGACTCGGCCTGGCACGAGAGCCACAGGCTCCGTCCCTCCTCAAAGTACTTGTCCGGGGGAAATATCTCCGGGGTGTCCGGGCCGTCTGGAGGACAGAGAGAGACACACGACGCCCTGAAAGGACAGAGCAAGACCCTGGTGTGTGTAGACGATCAGGGTACGCTTGAGCCGGTGACAGCCTTGCTCTGTACGTGAAGCCAGGCAACTGCCTGACAAGGGCTCAGCACACACACACACACACACACACACACACACACACACACATGCACGCGCACGCATGCACACACGCACTCACACACACACACACGCGCACACACACACACGCACACACGCGCACACACACACACACACTGCCTGGCCCCTGAGCCGCGGGTGTGCTGGGCAGCTGGCCCGGCAGGGGCGGGCGGCGATGGCCTCACTCACAGAGGACGTCCAGGGTGAGCGGGTCGCTCCGGGAGGCGCTCAGCGGGTTCGAGGCCTCACACTCGTAGCGCCCCCCGAAGCGCCTGGACACATCGAGCAGAGTGAGGGTGGTGTTGCCGCGGGACAGGGCGACGGCCCGGTCGCCAGGCAGCTGCTGGCCGTTCAGCCGCCACACGTAGGTGGTGTTCGGGGAGGGCGGCCCGCACGTCAGCTCCACGGCGGCGCCGCCCTCCACGGCGGCCCCGCGGCTGCTGCTCACGGAGGGCTTGCTCACGCGGGCTGCGGGGACAGAGAGGAGCGGGGACTGCTGGGGCTCCTCCCCGCAGGGGCGACCCCGGGAGGCTGGGCGGTGCCTGCCCTGCTCAAAGTCCCACCAGGGCCCAGGAGCAGCCCGTGCGTGCGTGCGTGTGCGCGTGCGCGTGTGTGTGTGTGTGTGTGTGTGTGTGTGCGCGCTTGTGCATGTGTGCGCGTGTGAGTGCGTGCGTGTGTGTGTGTGTACGTGCGTGAGTGCGTGCGTGCGTGTGCATGTGTGTGCGTGTGTGTGCATGTGTGCGCGTGTGTGTGCGTGTGTGTGTGCGTGCGTGTGAGTGCGTGCGTGTGCATGTGTGTGCGTGTGTGTGCATGTGTGCGCGCGTGTGTGTGTGTGTGCGTGTGTGTGTGCGTGCGTGTGAGTGCGTGCGTGCGTGTGCATGTGTGTGCGTGTGTGTGTGTGCGTGTGTGTGTGCATGTGTGCGCGTGTGTGTGTGTGTGCATGTGTGCGTGTGTGTGTGCATGTGTGTGTGTGTGTGTGTGTGTGTGTGTCCGCGCGTGTGCTCGCGTGTGGCGGGAACTGCAGCCCTCCCTGCCGCGGGGGCCTGGAGCTGGGCTTACGGTACACGGAGACGTTGGCGGAGGCGGAGCTGGGGCGGAGGCCGGCGCGCAGTGAGCGCGCGGTGAGCGTGTACAGGCCGGCCTGCTCCAGGCTGAGGTTGCGCAGCGTCAGCGACCCGTCCTCCAGCAGCGCCTCCCGGCCGCTGTGCCGCCTGCCCAGCCTGGTGGCCCCGGCCCGCGCGTCGTAGGCCAGCAGCAGGTCGTCGTCCAGCGAGCCCTCGCCCCGGAACCAGGCGAAGCCGAGGAGGCCGGCGGGCAGGCCGCGGGCGCGCAGGACCACGGCGCCCCCCTCCAGCACGGCGCGCGGCTGGGGCTCCACGGCGGGCTCCACAGCGGGCTCCACGGCGGGCTCCGCGCCGGCTGGCTCCCCGCTCCACGCGGCCAGGAGGGAGGCTGCGGGCACAGAGGCGTTAGGGCGCACCTTGCCGGATCAGGGAGGGGCCCGGGTCGGGGGTGGCTGTCTCTGCTCTACAGGCAAGTGTGTGAGTGTGTGCACGCGCGCGTGCTCTCCCTCAGCCCCTGCCGTGCCGAGGGCTGCAGCGTGACCTCTGACCCCCTGCTCCGCGGCTTCTCCCCCAGTTTCTTTCCCCGCTCACTCTTCTGTCCTCAGCGGCTGCTCGCACTCGCCTCCTGAGATGTGCGCTTTAACCACCTCCCGTGAAGGGCGAGTGAGTGTTGGTTGGTGTGAGCACTGTGGAGGAGCTGTGGGCGCCTCTGGCCTGCCCCTGCTTTGTTACTTAGATCCCAGCGGAAAGAGTGCTTTCGCGCTGTTCTTCACTGCTGAGTTCGCCCCCTTCCTCTGAGAGGCAGCGGAAGTCTTGCCAAGTTCACTCCTCGGGCTTGGCTTCCTTGTGGATTTACTCATTGTGCCGAGGGGCTTTTGCTCTGGCTTGAAAGGAGTCCGGAATAAAGCAAGGCGGCCTGTTGGTGTAATGTTTTGTTGTTGTTTTTTTTAATGTATACACCTTACCCTTGTTCATTCAAATGCTGATTTCTCCCCCCACCCCCCACCCCAACTCTCTGGTTTCAATTCGGATATTGCATTGTGATGCTCATTCTAAGCATCCTGTCTCAACTTGGTGTAAACAGGACAAAATAAAGCAACTAGACACAATGTTGAGCTGGGAGGAGCCAGAGGACAGGAAAGAGAGGAGGAGCCAGAGGGCAGGAAATGAGTGGGAGGAGAAAGGATGGGGGAGAGCTTGGAGAGAGAGCTGGAAGAGAGATCTAGGAACAGCCTGGAGAGAGGGACTGGACCTAACATATCCCTAAGAGGAAGTATAATGTGGGAAATCTAAATGTTAGGAAACTGAGGGCTAGGAGGTTTAGGATAGAGTAACTATTGCCCAGCAGTGTGCTCTAGGTTAACTAAAAACCCAGTGTCTGTGTGGTGATTTGGTTATGCAGCTGTTAGGCATAACAGCAGCTTTACCAGAAGATAAACCATAGTAATCATTAATAGTCACTTACAACAGCGGCCAGCTTCTCCAGAGCCTCTCGGAAGGTCCCACGTGCTGTGTGTCCGTCTATTAATTTCAATCCTCACTCCTGACTCGAGAACCGTTGGGCTCACCGGCGAGCTCCAGCAAGGACCCCAGTGTCCACACCCACGGGAGTGCGGGGGTCGGGCTCAGGGGGCAACGTCTTGTTCTCGTCCACAAGTGGATGTTATGAATGACTGGCCTCCGGGTAAACCAGTGTGCACAGAAACTGTCTGCCACAGCCTCCTCGCGTGGGTGGTCTCGGCCTCCTCCTCCCGACACCAGCCGACCCGCCCACGTGTTCAGCCGCCTCAGCTCAGCAGTGTGGAGTAAGCAGTCTCCCGGCTTCAGCTCCTCCGTCGGAGCCATGGCCACACCATCCCAGTTTCCCTGCACGCCTGCATGTCTGTCTTTGTGTGTGTGTCCTGTCGGACAGGCGGACTGTCGGGACCCAGCCTTCTGAAGCACAGCTTCGGGGTTCACGTTCACACCTCTCCTGTCCGTCCTGCCTGTGGCGTTTGTCCACATCGGAATTCACTTTCAGGTGCCTTGGTGGCCTGTCTTCCTGAGTCATGTGGACAGACGCGGCTGTGCCGGCGCCTATGACAGCCTCGGCTTCCTGTGCAGGAACTGCACGCTGAGGGCTGGCCTGTGGCTGCACGCTGAGGGCTGCACGCTGAGGGCTGCACGCTGAGGGCTGCACGCTGAG